CACGAGCTGTGTGTGTGTGCGCGCGCGCGCCTAACCACGAGGCGCGGAGTGGCGTGCGCTTACCACCCTGGTTACGGCCCGCCCCGCCCATTTATGTACCCCCGCCGTTCTCATGTATTATAAAATCATCCCCCCGCCCCGCCTTCCCCTCCTTTTCTTCTCCTCTTCGTTCTGAAGTCATCACCTGTCCGAATGCAAATGTCCGCACTTGTTGTGTATCCCGTAAACCCCTTTTTTTATTTCTTTTCATTTTCCCCTCTCCCTGTTTTGTTGGCTGTTTGACGCGCTCAGGTGATTCCGAGGGGGGTGGCCTCGTCCTCGACGTCCTCCCCGGAGGTCGGCCGTCGGCCGGGGGTCTCATCCCGAGGAGCCAGAGGAGGAGGAGGAGAGCGAGAGGGACTCTGAGAGGGACCCCCGGGCGGCGTCCTGCGTCCCTGTCCAGCGCGAAGGGACGGACCGGGGACGGACCCCCTGAGAGGGAAAGTGGACATGTCGCCCACTCATACGACCTTCTCCTCATTACGAGGGGCACAGCCAGCCAGGTACGGGCGGTGCCGTTTTAATGAGTCGGTTTCAAACACCAGTTCGCCATGTTACGTACGTGGTAAGCATTTCGCGGCCCCCCTCCATACTCTCCCTCTTTCCACCCTCTTCACCGTCTCCACACTCTCATGTCTATCGTACTCCAAAAGTACAGCAGGTTAGGCGTTGTAAACCATATTTTTAGACAGTCCCCTAAAGACTGTCTCTACCAGAGGGCAAAGTCCCCTCCCCCTCCTCACTCTATAATAGCACAGAGCGTGGCAGGCGGCTGGCCGCTGGCGTGTCTTTCTTTTCTGATAATACTGTACCGGATTCAGGCGTGCAGACGGGGTTGCATACTCGCACGGGGCCATAAGGCACCGTGGTTGAGAGTTAGGTACAGGCGGCAAGCAGTAAAACCAGAATAAAGTACGGCTTAGAACACCCACCCTGTAGTCGGATCGGCCAATTATGTTTTTTTTGTTTTTTTCTATGACATCAATTTATGTTTCCTCTCCTCATTGTGTTTCAGATTGATTCCCCGTGCGTCTGTCAGCCAGCCAGTCAGTCACGGGTGTTCCCCGTGGGGATCATTACGGCGTCTGTCCGCCCCTCAAGACGTCCTCGCCAACCCCTGACAACATGACACGGGGCGTGGCGGGGCGTTGCGTGGCGCGGTCCTGGAAGCGGGAGGCGGGGCGGCGAGCGCGCCAAAAACCGGCGTGGTGGAGGCGGGACCGCGCGCCGACGGAGCGTCGCTGGAGCCTCCGGTGTGAGTGTTGCGGCGAGGAGGAGAGCGAGAAGAGAATGATTCTGGGAATCACGGGGCCAACTTGGCCGGCCGCGCCCCGCGCCCCGCGCCCGTGGCGGGCTGGTTGAGCAGCGGCGAGAAGTAGAGGGGGCGTCTTCATTCAGGAAACAGGTCCTGGCGGCGCTCAGCATCAGCATGAGCCGGCTGGTGGCGGCGGCGGTCAAACTCGAACGACATTTTGCATGGAAACAGAGAGGGGCGGCCGGGCCGTGGACGCGACTATGCTAAAAAGTCTTTTCCTCGGAAAGAGAAACCGTGCCGCACTGGTTTTGGTTGTCTGGTTGCCATCTTATTCCCCACCTCTTCTTCTTCTTCTTCTTCTTCTTCTTTTCTTCCTGAGCTGCAGCAGCAGCGGCGGCGTCCCCGTGTCGTCCTGGTGGTTGGTCGTGGCCACCGCCGCGTCCGCCTGGTGTAAGTTATGGCAAGTTTATCGATCAGAGCAACGGCGGACGCGACGTGAACATATTCCTCCGCTAGGGACTCATGGATACGGTGGCAATAGCTATTCTCCTCCCTCCCAGCTCCCCCTTTACTGCGAGTAGACTTATCGGGCGTGATACCGCGGGCGCCGCCCCGCCCCGCCTCGCCCCTGTCCACCCTCTCTCTATAGCAGCGCGGCCCGCCCGCCCGCCGCCCTGGCCGGCATGGTCCGCACGTCCGAGAAGAATCTGCTCCCCATTTTCTATCTGTCGTCAGCACAATTTTTCTTCCCTGTTTCACGCGCATCTCGGAGCGGACGGTCCGACCCCGGACCGCCATCGATTCGAGCGAAGACGCGCGACGCTGTTCGACGGCACGGCCCCGCAGCACCGCACCATTCCGTGCCACGCCGCAAAGGAAAGGCCTCCTTAAATCGCACACGTGGTACGTGGTGCGGGTCGCTGTGACGGTGCCAACTTCTGCTGGGCATTGATCAAGCCGCGGCCACAGTGTGGCCACAGGCCCTGCCGCCAGCAGTGGACCCGGGGAGGCTGCGCGCCGCCCGGCCCGGCCAGCGCCGCCGTTTGCACTCCGCTGGACGCGGATCGAAGCCAATCAAATTGGCCAACATCCCGCCCTGTTCGGGCCTGGGGCTGCCTGCCTGGCGTATTCAGAGGACCTCGCCTCGCCGCGGCGTCTTCGCCGCCCTCCCTCCCCCTCCCCT